ACCCCCCATTACAGGACCTTTCTTCCTCCCAGCTCACTTTCTCCAGGGTCTTTCTCTTCTTTTTCTCTCCCTCCCTTTCATGAGTTTGGGCTGAGTCCTTTCCAGTGGGGAGGTCCAGGCCTTTTCTCTCTTTCAACAATGACCGACTCTAAGCATCTTGTCTGTGAAGATTCATTACACATTCATCATTGACATGAACAAACTGAAATCTTTCTGATAAATAAGATTTGAACCAACTTAGTGCAGTTCCTTTCAGTTAACTTTAACATAAGCAATAAACAAGAACATGTTTGGACATCTAACTGCAATGTTCCAATTGATACTTTAGCAAACAGCAGCTGTCCCGGGTTGCCCTGTAGTGACACAGTAACTAAAGTGCTGCAGTACAACAAGAGGAAGTGTGGAGAGAAATACAGAACATAATTAGACCTTTAATTTCAGATGAAGCTTTTACACCCACTAAGTCTGATATTTTTCTTACAACAAGAAAAATCCAATTTGAATTTGAAATCAGCATGTTGCTATGAGTGCCCCCTCTCTACCTCCCACCCAACCAGAGACTACCAGTGTATATACACACACACACAAGAGACTCTTAAAGCTTGAGGAAGTCTGTGTTCGGTCTTTCAAGGGGACAATTCTGAAGTCTAAACAACCCCCCCACACACACACACCACCCCCCATTACAGGACCTTTCTTCCTCCCAGCTCACTTTCTCCAGGGTCTTTCTCTTCTTTTTCTCTCCCTCCCTTTCATGAGTTTGGGCTGAGTCCTTTCCAGTGGGGAGGTCCAGGCCTTTTCTCTCTTTCAACAATGACCGACTCTAAGCATCTTGTCTGTGAAGATTCATTACAATTCATTTGTTTGAAAAGGTTCATTTCTCCTTTAGTCACTCCCTGTCTGTGCCCGCCTTTTTCAGCCTGGGAGAATTGCATAAGATATGCACAAAAATGTCCTTTACCTCCAGCAATAAACAAGAACATGTTTGGACATCTAACTGCAATGTTCCAATTGATACTTTAGCAAACAGCAGCTGTCCCGGGTTGCCCTCTAGTGACACAGTAACTAAAGTGCTGCAGTACAACAAGAGAAAGTTTAGAGAGAAATACAGAACATAGTGGACTATTTGTCAGCAATTACTGTAAAGTAAAAATATCCCTCTAGGGTTCAGATATTTAAAATCACCAGTACCAGAACTGTTCCTATTGACACTAAATGGCAGCAGTGAAATTATGGCTTGAGTAGAATAGAGGTACATCGGCATGTTGCTATGAGTGCCCCCTCTCCACCTCCCACCTAACCAGAGACTACCAGTGTATATACACACACACAAGAGGCTCTTAAAGCCTGAGGAAGTCTGTGTTCGGTCTTTCAAGGGGACAATTCTGAAGTCTAAACATGGCTTGAGTAGAATAGAGTATGCAGGTATACAAACACCAGACTGAATGCACACCCGTGGACCTGAAGATCCATGAATATATTAGATGCAAATACATGGATACATACAGATGTGTGACAAATGAAAGGACAAACCAACATAAATTGTCTCAGCAAAGTGTTGGGCCACCACATGCCGCCAGAACGGTTTCAGTGTACTTTGGTATTGACTCTTCAAGTGTCTGAACTCTACTGGAGGGATGAACACCATTCTTCCAAAAAATGTATTCCCTTTTGGCGTTTTGATGGTGGTGGTGGTGGAGATGGTATCTAATACGTCATTCCAAAATCTCCCATAGGTATTCAGCTGGGTTGAGACATGAAGACTGGGAAAGCTATACAGTAGCATGTCATTCACATCATTTTCATATTTATCATACCATTCAGTGACCCCTTGTACCCTGTGGATGGGGGCACACATGGACACACATACACGCAGGATGACAGAACAACTTGCAGTGACCTCCCCTCTAAGGGGACAAATGGACCCAACCCATGCCACCATCTGTACTTCTTAAATGTCTCCAGTCTTTTATTCATGTTTCTCCTGTAATTCCTCGCCTGCCTATGGACTAGAGAGATGAAAGGACCTATGAATGCAATACAGACATAATCGCTAGTTGTTGTGCAATATAAACACTGAACATACATATATACAGCCAACCTTGTCAAGAAACCAGATAGAAAATGTCTGGCAACGGAGAAGCAGGCCAAAATTAAAGCCTTAAGTCTGTGAGCTCAGCACTAATGACAGGCTGCCATGCCAAGGAGGGTAGAGAAGAGAGGGATGCAGGGATGGAGGGATACATAAGGTGGACACAATCTATGAAGGGCTGTTGTTGCTGATTGGACCAGATGAGGCTAAAGATAGTAAAATGAAAAGGATGAAGGGATGGATGAGAGCCACAAACAGAAATAAAGTTTTAAAAGCGATAGAGAGTTAACTAGTTTACAAACAATCAGTGTAATACGGATGCTCAGCTGGAGCCAGCTGCACTAGCTGCTACCCAGTACACCTATCAAAAAAGATGCATGCGCACGCACACACACTTGTAGCCAGAATCTTTTCTAGCCCCTTGACCCAGGTTGACAGCACCCTATGTTCCTGTCCTACTGTAAAGAGAGGTCCAGTGATAATGAGGCCAAAACGCAGCTGGAACCCCTGCCAGAGCCTCATCACTGTGTGTGACTGTGGGTTTGTATGTTTCTGTGCGTGACACCTCCCTCAGTCTTGATATACAGTATAAGTTTAATTTATGCAGTAAAAGGTCTTCTCCAAAAAAATGACATCCCCACTAAGCCTTCAATCAGTTTTTCCAGCTCCTCCAAGGACTACGTCCACTTACACACAAAAACATGCAGTTTTATCTAGTAATATGTCATCCTAACCCCTATTTATAGTGTAACTCGGTTGCCACCTGGTCTGATCTAGGTATAATGGAATTGTACAGTGACTCATTCATGTTTTTGGACTAAAGGAAAACATTAAAGCAGAAACAGGACATACAGTTTAAACCACAGTTTAACTGCTGGCAGTTCTTGTTCACATAGTCAATATTATTCCATATTTTCTGGATTATTAATCATTTATTGTCAACCTTTAAATATTCTTGACAGCATTTGGCACAACTGTAATTTGAATCTTACACTTACCAAATGTGCAGTATGCTTGGAAAGTTCTTATGTGATAGTGACCACACCGTCTTCATTATACATTACTAAAACATAAAGTTCAGGCTTTAGTGAAAGATGGTGATCCCTAGCAAAGCACAGATACTCATGCACATCATTTGCAGACACAATTTTTTGAGCTAAAAAATAAGGTAAGAAGAAGGTTGTATGATCTGTACATGTGCAATGCTCTTTACTGTAGGTGCAGAATCTCTGCAAATGAAAATTTTGAATTACTGCTTTAAGGTCACAGCCTCTGCCAGCTAGTCAGATTTACAGGAATGGGACAGACGTGAGGTCACTGTGACCTTGACTTTTGACCACCAAAATGTAACCAGTTCATCCTTGAGTCCAAGTGGACACGTCTGCCAAACAAATTCCCACAAGGAGTTCCGAGGTGTAGCGGTGATGAAAATGGGCCGGATGGATGGACAACCTGAAAACATAATGCCTCCAGCCAATGGCTACCATGGGCATGGAGGAATAAAAAGCCAAAAAGCCACTTCTATGCATTCAGTTATAGTAAAAATACAAATTACAGTAGAATGAAAATATGTGAAAATAAAGCCAAGTAAGGTAATTATGGTTAAGTAATGGTTACTCACCACTGTTATACATTTATAAAGTGTTAGTTCAGGAATATACATATGTTTTCCCCTTTACAATAACCATCACAAAGGGCATTAACAAATGGTTAATTAAAGTTAAGTAATGGTTATTCACCACAGTGATATATTTTTAAGGAGTATTAATAAATGCGTAATTATGGGTAAGTAATGCTTACAGTATACAGCAGAGGTGGGTAAATCAGGTTGAGAGCTACTGCTGTGCATGTTTCCCAACTATCCATGCCTTACCCACTACTGCATACCTGGATCATGTGTATTCAGTCAATCAGAAGCTGGGAGATACTGTACCATCTTAGATGAAGGTGGAGCGAGGACAAAGTGAATTCATAGGTTGGAGGGTGGACAAGTAAGTGGAGTGAGGCTTGCTCTCCGCCACCTGCCCTTTGTCTCTTCTCTGTTTCAGGCTCCCTGGTATGACCCACACCTGCAGCACACCTCCCGGATTACCCTCTTCTCTACTTAAACCCCTGGCAGATGCACATGCTCTGCCAGTTCATTATGTGGAGATGTTTATCTGCGACCACTGCAGTTTCAGACGATCGTCAACCACATCTAAAGTAAGGCTGTTTCTGGCTGTTTCCGCATCATCCCCTCTGTGCTTACCTATGATACCATACTGTAATTGAAGGTACATACATACAGAAATACTTTGTTAGTACTTTTTCTTAAGTAAACGATCTTAATACCTCTTCCACTGTTGTGTATTTGTAACATGTTTTATATACCAGTATGGAGAGGGCTGGGGGAAACATCTGCTGACAAAGTCCTTGTTGGGTACAAAAACACATTCTAAGGTTCAGCTGTACAGTTAAGTCTTCTTTTTGTACAGAATACCATCTTGTACATGTTCACTTACAGTTTCCTTACAGGGTGACACAAAGAAGAAGTTAACAGTAAATTTAGAAGATACACAACTGATTTATGTAACAGGCTGCTGAAGCTTCATATTGGTTTTGGATAAACAGACAACTTTTTTTTCATTTATTTATTTTGCACAGGGCAAGGACTGATTTGTTCATCACTTGCATTGCAAGAAAAGAATCTCTTCATGGCCAGTAAACAATTAAAGCAGCGTGGAACTGTTCTAATTTCTATCTGGGCCTGGGAGTGTTCATTTACGATGTACTTTCTAGTCCATGTATTAACCACACATATGACCTATGTAGATATGATCTTTACAGCTTGAGGGTTTTGCATCTTTGGTGCAAATCATCAGAACAAAATCTCAGTAAGACTGTAGGTCCTAAATCAAACCACCAACAGTTTACAGATAAACAAACAAAACTTCACATTTATTAGTCCTCCTCAATGCTTCTTCTGTAACAAGATACTGATACACCAAAGTGGCACTGTGCGTAGACCCCTACATCTTAGAGATGAGAAAGTTAATAGTATTTAATCAAGTGTTGCAACACCTGCATACAACCATAGTGACAGACTAAACACCTGTAGCAAAGATCTAATGTAAAGTGACCCTTAAAAACATGTCAAACTACAAAAGCTGACCTGGCCTAAGAATAATGCAAATTGTTATTCTATATCATTTAGTAGAGAATCGTGTATAAAAATAACATTCTCCAATTACTGAAATCATTCACCTATTACATTTTTAAAAATAGCTGAGGTATTTGTAAAATTATCAAGGACATGAGACATGCTGCCACATTTGTGTGAACATCTAGTCCAATAATAGTCGAGAATATACAGACCCATCACTAAACATTCCATAGGTTAATTATAACTGTGCTCCACTGAAGGCAAGGTGTGCAGTGAGCAGCACACATCCACTTTGTCTCAACTAATTCCACCCAAGCCACTACAGATTTTCATGCCCATGTTCTCTTGAGCATGCAGCAGTCAAAACTTTTTATGTCACTATACATGAAAACTGCTGCTAGGGTTATGTGGAGGCAGCAAAATGTGTGTGACAAACAATTATGACCTACTGTATCTTTATAGTGTTGAATACAAGGAAATAGTGTGAGACCATCCTACCTGATTGTGAATTTAAAGTGATTTACTGACCTACACCCACCTTGAGTATCTACATCCACCAATAAATCAAGACTAAAAGACAGATTAGTCTGAGTTTGACAGTTGTTCTGTTTGGTCAAACTGGAGTTGTTATAGTATTCTGTAGAGAGAGCACAGAAAACTGTCTGCCTAGTCGCCTAACAGGCAGTTAAGTTATTTTGAGGAGGTACAGTGCACTAGTCCACCTTCTCTGCAATCCGTCCCATTTTAGTGCGCATGTTTCGTACAAGGAAGAACCCGATGGTTGCTAGTCCCATTATCACCTCAGCGACCCAGAAAGCCATGTCCCAGCTGTGTCGTTTGGCAATAGTGCTGAAGGGAAGCCCCGCCATGAAGGCCCCCACTGTAACACAAGAAAAATGGATGAATGAAAAGAAGCTAGAACGTGGACTTTTAGACTTGTAGTAGTGCTATGAAGCAATGGTTTTACAAGTGAGCCCCTCTTGTTTGCATTGTGGACACACATGAATGCACAGACCAATGTTTTATGAGAAAGAAAATGCATTCACCATGTCTCAGTCCTCAAGAATACATACAACATGTTTTGGTAAAAAACACTTGATGTAAACAGAACTTATTTTACATGTTTTAGTTGGCCATGTGAATTTGCAGCTTACCGTTAGCCATGAGAGCTACAACTGCATGAGAGGTTCCACAAAAATTTGAAGGAGCACTTTCATTGGCTACCACCCCAAACAAGGCAATTGGTCCATAAGAGGAAAATCCAAACAGAGCACCAAGAAAGAGGATCCAGATCTGTGAATGACAAAAACAAAATGTGAACCACTGTGTTCTTGGAAGCTTTTCGTTTGTGAGATTTGGGAAGATGTTTTTAATCCCCAGTAACCACAAGAATGAAAAAAAGGTGCACACCTCTTGTTCTGACACACCAATCAGGACAGAGATGGGATGAATGACTTGAACCCATAGAGGAGCCTCCTGAGCAAAGAAAATCATATGATATTTTCAGTATTGACATCATGTACGTTTTAAACATTTTACACAGTGATGGTAGGTAATACAATAAGGAACAAATTACCTTTGGGATTTCAGGTGTGACGGTAACTCTGAAGAGGTACATGGACACATACATACCAGCCATCATGACAATGAGCAGGCCGTGACGAGGGTTGCCATGGGTGCCTAAACCTTGCTGGAGAAGGTTAAAGGGAGGATGTTTATAACACAGTAATTTCACTGGTAATCCCAGGCAGTTTGGTTGAAATAATCTGCCTCTGCTCCTCACCCGAGCTACAGCTCTGTCTGAGATGAGACCTGCTGTGAGGCTGCCCATAAAACCTCCCACTTCCAAGGCACTCATGTAGGTGCTCCCTGTTAGACACACAGCTGACGTCAGCACACGTAAACAGTCAGATTATATGAAATTCCGTAAGAAGCAATGGAAAATTAAAATGCATACCCAAAAGAGCGGTCTGGCCTTTCTCCTGCATGAGAAAGAGCTGTCCCCAGTCCGTGGCTGCCGTCTTCACACCAAACACCACCAGGTAACACAGAGACAGCACCCACAGGAAAGGAGACAGGAGGAAGTCACTCAGGGTGCTCTCACTGTTCCCTGGTGATGGGAGAACAGTCACATGTCATACATTATACAGCTGTTTTAATGACCTATTCTACACAGTATGCCTGTCACATGGTGTTGCCAAGTCCCACCCAAATCTTTAAGTATTATAACTTTGGAGTGTGTCTTGTAGTCATTTGGTGATGTTGGTATCTGACTGATTATACTATGCAGTTCCTGAGTCAAAGAGTCATACAGATCTGTTAAAAACACCCTAGTTGTCTTGTCATTTCCAGTCATCCACACTGCCAGCTTCTCCAAACGCATCATCACCCAGCTATGGTCCAAACGTGTCTTAGCAGCTTACAGACAGACATGTATCTCTCACTAGAGGGATAAAATGATTATCCTGCACGCCGTTGCTTCCCAGTACACAGAGCATTTAATTGCCCCATAATAATTTCCCAAAACTGAACATTAACATAAATGTCTTCTATTGTCCAATTAAGAGTGCAGAACCCAAAGATATTCACTTTGTTGGGTCTTTCCTCTATAATATTAATAACAGTAAGGTCTAGACCTTAGTTTGTCAAGTGTCCTGAGATGACTTTTGTTGTGATTTGGTGCTATACAAATAAATTTGAATTGAATTCAAAAGTCTGGACACAGGATTCCATTAAATTCAATAGCAAAATAGATTTGAGAAGTCAAGATATGTTTGGCATTTTTGCTTTTTACATTTTCTGTTAATCAACTAAGTGATTACTCAACTAATTTTAGCTCAGATTAAATATTTTCCAAATCCCTACCTTCAGTTTCTAAAAATATATTCAACATTATTATGTATCTTTGATGTACAGTTGGGCAATCTGCTTCTGATTACACATTGTACTGCACTGATTAGCCTCCATGTATCAGCTCCTTTATGTGCTCTTTTTCTGTCATATGATCCTTGTTGTATAGTGGTCCTACTTATTTGTTCATAATGTGTGAATTAACTGAAACCACCAAAGCATTTGAACTCATTTAAGCCATGTATGATCTATGAATTGAGTCAGGATCATGTGATCATCTCTTGTGTCCTCACTAATGGCTCTTATACCCAGCCTCCTCACTCCTCAGAGGAGGAATAAGAGCTTTGGAACATCCTCCAAGATGGCAGACCCAAACAGGTCGGGTCGAGCAAGGAATGATCAGATCAGGAATTGGGATTTATCCCATCTTTAGGAAGTGCCTCTACCTCTGTAATTCTACCTGGCACCAGTTTCTTTGCTTACCTTGCTTTGTCCCCTTCTTGGCCACTGCCTCGATGCTGGGCAAGCCTACATCCTTTGGTTCGTTCTTTACAAACACCAGACACACAAATGAGAAGGTGGCACAGACAATGCCTGACATGGTCAAGATAGTCCTCCAATCATAGTACTGCAGTAGCACTGTGACCAGGATAGGGCCCAGACCCCCGGCCAGGTTCATACTGCAGGACAGCACAGCCCACCATGTTCCAAACTGGGAAGGCTCATACCACTGATGGAAAAGAGACGCACATGAGAGAACAAGTGGTCAGAGGTCAACATTTCCAAAATAAACCACAATGTAAGTTGAGTCAAAGAAAGCACTCTTATTTTCCCTTCATATGAATGTTTTAATGTTTTGTGTGTGCATGTACAGACGCATATACACTCCCTGGCCACTTTATTAGGTACACCTGTACAACTGTATGCAATTCAGTGCAACACTTCCGCCCTTAACATCTGTGTTTATGAAGTTCAAACTTTCAGTTTTTGGTGAAATTGTCAAACACATAAATTCAGCTATATGTTTATTACTGTGTTCATAGTTAAAGGTGGTGTTGTACCGGACTACATTATATTCAGAGATGTTCCTAATATTCTGACTCTCTCATGTCTGTAGCTGGGGAGGACAAAAATATAGAAACACTTCTGAATATAATGGCCTATATGATATATAACAGAATGTATCCACTTATGACCACTTCACCAAAAACAAACATTTTGAGCTTCATAAACACAAATGTTAAGGCGAAAGTGTTGCACCTTATTTATTATTACTTGTAGCTTTTAGCAACATGGTGCCAAAATCACTCCCCCCACATGATGTAATACAGCTGAAGGCAGCCTTAAACATTTGTCACAAAGTATACCCTACAGAGTAACCAGGAACTTGAGAATCCACTGAGCAAACACTGGAGGCAGCTCACAGGCTGATTCACCAACATGTTGATCCACATTTTCTGGACATTAACACAACAGTGGAACTGGATCAGCAGAGCTGTAGCAAACTGATTAAGGCTGAGCTAGTAAAGATGTTTTATCACCCTGAAGAAGGAAAACATCTTTAGTCAAAGTTTTTTTTCTCTTTTGGAAAAATCTGCTGAGGATCTCCTATAATTATATACTCCTGTAATCTG